GCCACAACCTACCTAGAGGCACATTCCACGATCCAAGTAAGTGACTACTTCGCCCAGTCAAGAAAGTACAGGTAGAAAGAGGACCGTTACTGACGAAAAAATCTCTTAAAGATAGAATAAAGGCCTATTTTGGGGCAGTGGACTGTGCTGTGGCGAAGAGACATTGGGCATCGAGGAGAGACAACAGAAGAGAGAGAACAGCTAGAGAGCGAGGCGCAGATAACTCGATGAATAGACCGCTGTCATGTGAATGACTGCCACGGGGCGGTGATGGGCGTGTTCGGACCCACTGGGCGTACGAGGACCCAGGGCTCTAGACTCGAGCGTGACGCGTTCAAATGCTCCAAAGCGGCTCAATCTCTGCAGTTGCTCACCTAGCACCTCCATCCTCAGGAGGACTTCTACAATCTAACTGATCGCGGGTTGTGCCTCAAGTGTAAACCTGCATCACATATCCTAATAATATGAATAGTAACAGGTACATTTTACAGTACTCAGTGCTCTCCGCCAATGTCACGGTCGGTTACCACTCAAAACAGTAGGAATCTTCGGAGTGACGTGAGTTTGGAAGTTGTCAGAAGTTTTTCTTTTCTATGCTTTTTGTTTCAATTTCAATATGTTCATTTTCACACTTATGCCTTTGCAGAGCTACGAGAGCCAGATCCAGCTCGACGTCTGGCCTCGGTACAAGCATATACGACGACGACACTCGCCAGGTATGTGGACCTTTCTTCTATTTCCCTGGTTTGTCACTAGTTCCAGGTGAGCGTTTTCTAAGCTTCGGTGGAAATTATGAACCATCAGTTTGGGCGTGAGGCTCCCTTGACTCCCTAATTTTCAATTTTTTGTATGTTGTGCGTCGTTTTGCGAGGATTTTCTTTAAGCCGGAGCGCAGGTGGAAAGCGGCGGGTTCATCGTAAAAGCCCTTGGAAGGTAGTCAACTCAGCTGCAGAGTAGGTGCTGAAATCTGTGAGTAACCGACGGACAGTAACATAGCCAACAGGGCTTGTAGCTTCAAACAATGAATAAAGTCGGCGTCGATTGAATCCTTTTGGAATGCGCCGCACCTTCTACACCCATTTATGATCGCAGACACATTTTGAATAAGATTTGACCTGTACAGGGAATTGCGGCGATCAGCCAAATTAGTATAAGCCGGTATTTCTTTCCAATCACGTCTGATACCAATTGACTAACCCAGGAGAGCTGGGTTGCGCATGACGCCGTATCTCTAGATTGGATCCCGGACAGTAGGTGTAGAAGCGGCCCCACTGACTATTGCGCTACTTCCCTCCCAAACTCATGTATTCGAAACTAGGATGGAGTAGCGTAGAAGCGTCTATGTCACAATCATGGTTCCGGTTGTGACCAGGATCGAGCTCGCTCAACAAACGGTGTAGGGAAGAATTTCAATCCAAAAGAATCGCTACGATCTGCCTCGAAAAGTACATGACGCCCAGACTCATCGTCCGCTCATCAACGTACAAGATGAACGTCTTTGTGTAAGATGAACTACCTTGTCATCGTGAGCACCTACCACCGCACGTGAAGCACGCGCACGGTTAAAGCAACAGTTCAGGAACGGTTTCGCGGGAAAAAACCACCAATAATGAAGTTGTAGATGAAAACCAGACGATTAATGTATGAAAAACTGGAAAAAAACGTCGGGGAGGGTCTTAGACAGGTACTCTCCCTCTGCCGCTCAGCAATGGATAAAGACGCACGTTGGACGAGTTGTCTGAACGTGCCCGCTGTAAACGCGCTCCATTTTTCAATCAATTTTCCCTGTGGTCCCAAAACGAGCACGATTGCCGACGCGTCCAATGACGGCCGGCAAGGGGGCGGGATTGGGGAAATCCCCAAGAACACCCATGTTTGAGGGACTTTCCACCCTGTTTTTGAGTTTCTGAGGTAAGTTCGTTTATTATTTCCACTGCATATGTTCTTCACTAGGGCTCGTGTATCCCTCAGTAGTAGTGGCATTGAAATTTTCGGACCCTCCCTGAACTGTTGCTTTAAGGATGCCACTGTGCACACGAAATAGTAGTAAGACAGCGGTCAGCATTGCTGTCGCGGCCCATTTTTGCGGCTTGAAGTATCGCAACAAAAGCGCGGAGAAGCCGCTTCGATCCGCATCACTCCTTCGTCCGCAAGGGCCCGGCCTTCGTAGGGCGGTTGTGCACGGACGCTGCTGGAAAGCGTGGCGCGGTTGCGCAGCGCTTGGCCATTGCGATCCAATGTATTGCACGTGAACAAACTGCCAGCCAGGGTCCGAAAAACTCGTCTGGACGCCCTTTTCTATGTCAAAGGTGGGATGCGGGCTTGAAACATGGGAGGTGCCGCTGCCCGTTCGGCGAAGTGATCGGGAGTTTCCTTGTTTTCTTTTTCTTTTTCCAAGACCACTTCCCCACCCGAGCATCATTCAGTGAAACGCTGTTCGTCACCGTATTTTATGCTGTGCTTTGCCCTTTAGATGTCTTGATCCTGGTTTGGAGGCACCAGACGTTTCAGAAGTATTGGATATGAAGAGTTCACACTATCTAGTTAAGAGGCAATGCAGACATGTTCCTGCCCTCCTCCCGCCCCAATACCTTAACACCGATCCAGAACACAACATCTACTGGGAAATATGTTGCCATTTTACAGGAAGTGATCATTCAAACAGATGACTCGTACCTGAAAATTGCACGTCGATTGGACGAATATCGATCGAATCGAACTCAATTTCTGCCCGTGGTCGCTGCGTCACCACTCGAATCACATGCCATAGAGCCTTTCAAGTGAGATGCTCTTTTCAATACACTGTAAATAAAATCTTCTTAAGACTCGTCTTATAGGACTGATCGGCCTTCGGAAAGGCGAGGTTTCTACGTGGACATTAAAGGGCTTCAGCGAAAGACTTCCATAAAACCAAAACGAAGAATGAGCCATAAACTAAAGTGAGTAAGCCTACAACTCCTTTAAAGCATTATTGGTTGAATTATAGAAATAAGCTTGTAAATATGTATGTATAGCATAAGATAGCAAAACGATGGGTAACTAGTTGGAGCCCGTCCTGCGTTCAAGTTTTGCAATCCCTTGGAGTTTCCCTAGATTTCCAACTGAATTCCTCAACCAACCAAAAAGTTCATGTCATATGTAAGCTAGAAGAAGTCTCATCAAATGAATTGAAAAGAAAAACGAAACATGAAACTAATTAACCATCTTTCTGAAAAACAAGGAATTGTCGAATGCAGACCATACAACACAAGTGACGAAACAGTTACCACAAAATCTAAATGTTGTCTGTCAATTAAATGACTGGCTAGTTGCAATTGTTTCTGTTAGTCACTAAATGTCGGTTGTCACTAATTACAACTATCATTTACCAACAATCAGCTATCACTATGAATCCTTAGTTACCATTCACTTGGAGGCCGTCGTCACTTGTGGTGTGTGGTCTGCACTCGACGCGCACCTGGTTCTCGGAAGCAATGGTAATTGCTGCCAAAGTGTTGGACACATAGCCCACAGAGTCGGCAGGCCGCAGCCTCAGTCCATATATGGGCCAAAAGTTGACAAAGTATTGGAGATCCACCTTAACGGCGGGGTTCACGAGGACAAGGTAGCCCATTAGAAACAAGATAAGGTGGTCAGTGGTGCAAGGATGAAAAAACCATGAACCACTGCCCAGACCCTCTGAAACTCCTCATTTTCCTGTCAATTTTCGCTTTGATGCGGCTCTCATTGGTGCTGCCGTCTTCAGCGCTAACGCTCTCAACGGTTGGAGTCAGACGGCGAGAGGGTGGGCGGCAGCGGCGTTAACGGCGCGAGTATGGCCCTGCTAAGGCCGCTCGGGAAACTCTTCGTTTGCCGAAATCGCACATCAGTCCCGCACCCTCAGCCGTCCGCCTACCCTGCGAGTAAGTATAGTTCCCCTTCTTCGAACCGCCAGCTTGTATCGTGGCAGTTTCTTATTCAAAGTGCGGGCTACTGCTCTCAATGCGATGCGGTATTTTTGCACAACGAAAAGAAAGCTAGTGAGGTGCCAAAGTAGCATACATTATACGAAGTTATACGAATCCGTGGTAAATCCTAGAACTCAAGGAACTGCTTTTTTGTGCTAAGAGAATAAGAGGCGGGGGAGAGACGATGGGCGATAGAGCACAATGGATGGGGAGGGTTCGAACACCAGCATGGTGCGTTTGAGAAAAAAAGGAAGCGGTTGAAGCGGTCTCTAGGGGCCCCAGCCCCTTACTGCATACCTTAAAGCTGGGAGAACGGGGCATTTGCGAGCTTCGTGAGCAGCTCTACCCACCCACCCGCCAAAAGGACATATCCACCCGAACATCCAGGGATGTGTCTTTAAGTTCAACAATGAATATCTGTAATTGTCTCATTAGAAAAAATAAGGAATTGTTCAATATAAGGAGAGTACGGATCCAATTGACCTGCTTTGTTCCACGTAAAAAAAAATAGTTAATTCCACTCTCCCTAGCGGCACGTTTGTTTAGCAGCTGTTAAAATGGTTAGAAGTGAACGGACTCATGAAAGTGCGTAGCTTAATAAAGCTTGGATATGTCCCTATATGGCTGGGTCATACTCATGCATTATTAAACTACCTTACAGGTCAATATTAAAATCACCTGGCACGATCAGAACCAAGGACACGTGAGTTGATAGAAGACTTGTTGACGTGTGAAAGAAAATAACATTTTAGAAAAAAATAGCTAAATAAGATAAGAATAGATAGAAATGCAGAACTACTCCTTGCAGGTAGTATATGTAGGAAAAATTGAACGATTCGCTGAAATATAGCGTTTTAGGAATGCGACGCACAGGACGCAGCACGTCGATGACCAGGAATCACTGTAGAATCATTACCTTTCGCGTTGGATTGTGAATGTTTCGGTCCATGGCGCAATTCCAATTACTTGGGAAGTTTCGCCTTATTATTATCAAATTTAAGATGGTAGCTTTCAGATACTAGCAGCTGCTGATAATTTCCTGGAATTTCCTTGATTTCATGGACGCCCCCCCCCCCACAAGCGTAAGCCTACTCATGTGGCCGACATTGAACAGAAAACATTTTTGTGAAATTAGGATCTTATTGGGCACGCCAATGAAGGAGGTTGAAGTTGCCCGACGCTCAAATGAAAAAAGCGAAAAAAAAAATGATAAGACAAACGTACGCTAGGGCCTCTATCGTTAGTAGAAGGTAGGCAATGGCTGCTACGACGAAGAGACACTGGGTGCTGAGGAGAGGGATCAGATTAGAGAGCATGACGGCAAACGAAGCGCAGGCACGCCACAGCGTAGACTACTACGTTGAGCTTAAAGGATGCAAGCGGTTCCAGCATAAGTTATGCCCATAAACTACTTTTTATCGCAACACATTCAATTCCTCAGTAACGCCACATTTTTTCCTTACCTTTTCGTTAACGTCGCTATCCTACCCACGTAAGGTCACATCTAACACGAACAGGGACTGCGCCTTCAAGGGTATCTGTGGTTATCCATGAGAGCCATCATAGGAAATCTCAGTCATGCGAGAGTTTCGGCCATTCCTTAGTGATCACTAGCGCTTACACATCAAACGAGGTTTAAGTCGGCGTCTGCGGAAATCGTTAGCAGTTGGATTCCCCGCAGGAATCTCCCACACTATCCCACAGTCAGCCTCCTCGCATGAATACGCATTGAGATCGAGGCTCAATCAACAATATAAGTCATTTCTACACGTGAGGGCGCATCAGTCGCTGCATTCAGTGGCCCGGGGCGGCGGTTTTTTCCAAAATGAAAGTATGCTAACACGGCGTGGAAGAAAATCCGGGTGTAAGGCCGATGTCAGACTTTGCGAATCGCGCGATTCGCTAGCGTCTGCGGTCGCGTCGCGGCCAGTGAATCACTCAATTGGCTGGTACCGCAACGCGACCGCGGACGCTAGCGAATCGCGCGATTCGCAAAGTCTGACATCGGCCTAATGACGTAATAATTAGAAGGAGTGAACTCGGACGGTAGAGCGCTTTCGATGACCTTATGGTAGACGTCAGGTGGTTCAGACTCATCTCGCGCTTGGAGACGTTCTTGGGATCACTTCCTAACGTGATTCGACCAATCGCGCCCAACCGCCATCAAAATCGCTCCGCCCTCCGGCCATAGTGTTCAATGCCTTTGAGTAAAATTCCCCTACATTCTAGGGTAAATAATCGGAGAGGCCTGCTCTTGTTAAGTAACTGTAATCATCTCCCCCTTGAGCAATTACTTACTTCATACTTGCCTTCTTTTTTTATTTGTTATTTTTGGGTTACTTTTCTTTTAGATTTTGTTGTTGCACACTATTTTAGTGTTTCTTTACCCACCCTTTTTTCTGTACATACAGCCACCCGTAAATACGCATTACAGAACAAGTCTGGTGGTTCTCGGCTGCTTTCCCTAATAAGGAAAAGCTTAGAAAACCGTATGTTTCTTGCGATTTACACGATTTTCACCGAAATGGCTAGCCTCATCGGTGGTGAAAATCTCCTTGATTTGCATGGTTATAGCTTCAGCACTCTCCTTAGTTGCTTTTTTCTTCAGTTTTTGATTGATTTTTTTTTTTTCGTTGCTTTTTAGGTTACGGCATGGCTTACGGTAGTTCTCATAGAATTTATGTAGTATTTTCAAGTCACCGCTAACGCGTGATCACACAAACAAAACCCAAAAAACCACGAAAACTACGCCTCTGCTGCAGCTACTAACTGTCCAGTTTAAATTAGAACAATGCGGGCGTTCGCGTAGCGGTTGCATTATGACTCGAGTAAATCGGCCAATACTGAAGTATTGCCGATTGATTTCGACTTTTTCCAGCACCCTCGTCATCGCGCAAGTAGTAATTTAGAATTTATTGTCCACATTTCTCCGAACGGGACTTATTGTCCCACATTATCCAGTTTCCAAACAATTGCAGCCAGAGTAAGCCAGTCCCTGGAACTCTTTTTTTGTGTTCCCAACTCAAGCTTTGTGATAGCAGTTAAAAGGACAACTAACACTACCGTAATCCTCATACATAACTCGCTACCTAATAGTATTCACCAACTTATGCCTTTTTTGACAGTTCCATTTCAGAATCGCCATGAGAAAAGTCGTTCGATCTCACCACAAACTCCTCCACGCTCACGTAAAACTCTCACACGTGTCGCGTCGCTTCCAGCTGGAGTCGCACGTGGCAAAGTTGGCGATTATGTCGCGAAGCATGAACGTGGCATACCGAACCCAGCCACCGGACGAGATCGACCCGTACGGATCGTACGACAATACGCCATGGTCGACAAGGGTACTTAGAGCACTTAGAGCACCGCATCACTGGAGAGGCAAACTCATAGTTCCTTCGTTAGAAATCCCGAATAAGGATGCTCTTGTGTTTCAACCTCCTCAGAGATCTAGATTTTCACCTTAAATTTGTTAGGGTTTGCTTGGGAATTCGACCTTAGTAGCTCAAAGCATTTTGAATCCATTTTGACCTCACTGCGATGTGGCGGCTTGACTGATGACCGTAGCCGTCTCCCCTATTCTTACCGGACCCACGTCTGAATTTTTGGCTCTGCGATTTTGTAATAGGAAGCTGAGGGCGGTGTCAACCGCAGTGATCTAGTGCAAAGTCTTGGGGACAGTTTGGGGGTCCAAGACTCACAAAACCTCCCTACCCGTCCCCACCAGGATCGGATTAAGATTCTTTCTAACATTAGGGTTGACTTTGCCCGCAGCTCTTGGCTGAATAGCTACAAATCCAAGAATCCGCTGGCGTCCCACCCAGGGTACGTAGCCTTGATTCTCTTGCAAACCAGCCGGAAAAACACCTTCGAAGCTAAATGGCAAAATTTGCGTACCTTTTCATCCATGGAATAGTGAGAGCTCAGTCGAATGATGGTACCGCTACCATCGTCCACCGCTGGCTTGCGTACTGCTCACTATTAGACCCCATACGACCTTCGGTCAGGAGGAAATGTGAGGTTATTCCAGACCCTTACTATTCTCCAGCAACTAGTTGGGAGAAAACTGTCATTGGGCAAGGGGAAATTTTTCTTCACGACTCAGAAGAATTCGTCTGGCTTCGGTAGAAAGAAACATGTAGTTGAGATAGGATTAGCACAGCTGACATAGGACTAACGGTAGTCAAATAGAATTGTGTAGTAGAAATAATAATATACTAATCAAATTTGATGGTCTCTTAACCATATGTTTCCAAACCCTTGCCAGACAACCCTTGTTCACTCTAGGCTCCCTAAGAGGGCTAATTCATCACGTTGAGAGTTTTCATAGAAACTTCCCCATCTCAAGCCCTCCCCTTAGCTACCGTGGATCTTATGAATTTGATGCTGCCATTCCTGCACCACCATCCTGCAATCACCACCCCACACACTGCAAACTCCGCCCATCCCCATAGCATGAAAAGTTGGCTAAGGGGCACAGTGAATGGATGAGAAAGGGAGGGAAGGTATATGTGGCTCTTGAAACTGCGAATCTCGTAAGATCTTCATTTCTTCCTGAAACAACTCCAACTTCTCAAAAAATCACTTCCCATGTCTTCCAAAAAAAGACTCGCTGTTCCAATCCCAACGGACGATTTGCCCTGACCCTGACCCTAACCCTAACCCTAGTCTCATCCTTGGCAAACCACGGTGCACACTGCTTAGGTTTCTAGGCCACAGCGAATGTGCCACTACACGGCATTTTCAAAGTTCTTCTTTGAAATGTTCCTAAGCATTTTTGTGAGTGACTGTTCACCACTGTGGCATTTTTTCTCAGATAGGATTCCTAATAATAACTGTATTGAATGCATTTCTCGGTAATCGTATGAATCTTCACCTTATATTTATTATTGATCATTATTACAAACGGGTATTCCTTGCTCCAAAAGGTTTTGCCATTGAATTTAGATTTTTTTGTGTGTGTCGATATTTTGTGATGATTACATAAGTAGTTTTGGTCACTTCTGTTGTGATTGAATATGATAAAGTTCTAACGACGATGTTTTTCCAGAATTTTCAACAAAACTGAAGATTTAGCCCTAATAAGGTATCAAAGGTCCCATTGAAGGAAAGTACACGTCCCGCTAAGGTTAGTACGACTTCCGTAAGTAGAAAAAAGACACTGCAAAGCAGAATGGTCTGTCCAAAAGCCAGTAACTTCGTAACAGCGCGCATTCCACGAAGTTTACGAACCAGAGTCAACCCTGCGTTGCGCAGTTCTCAACGGCCACGTTGCGCAGTTTCGCCCGATTAGACACGTTCTCTCGCGCGAACATTCACACTCGCATGCTCGAGCCGTCTGCGTCTCCGCCCATACAGCGTGCGTTGAGGATCTCTCAACGTGCCGTTGCGAACTGCGCAACGCAGGGTTGACTCTGCCCCCACCCTCCCCTCGGACTAACTTGGTATACAACTGCGAAGGTCTTAATACTCTTCCGGGTAGCGAAAA